GCCTACTGGGAGAGCTGAGGGCTCCTCACATCACTGGAAGAGGGCTTAGCACTTCCCCAGGATCAGACCAAAAAGCAACAGCCTTCTCTATACATCTGAGAGTCTAAAAACAAATGTACAAAGAGCAATATGATATTGTAACATAATTTCAGATTCTCTTCTAAATCTTAACTTTATTAAACCACTTGTATTTTGGGTGGAAAAAAAAAAAAAGCCACAAACCAAAACATTTGGCATCTGCTTAATTATTTTTCAAAAAGTGTAAGTATGAAACCAGCCTAATCACAGCCATAACAATCTTACTGATAACTGTCTATTTAGAACTGCATATGGAAGAGTTTGAAAGAGCAGTTTTCAGTAACAGTCGATGTATCCACAGAGCTGCACTCCCAGAATGGACTACTTAACTTTTCTTGCTGGTTTTTAGAAGCCAGCTTCTGTCTCAGAAATGTCTTCAGACAGAAGAAAACTAAATAAGCGATACCATATGTTAAAATAAATCACTGCTGATTTTTAGCCCATTCCAAAAACCATCAGATATTCTTTTCAAGACACAAAGTAAATTGAAAAAAATAATAATTCTAATTTAATACGGGTTGGCTGATTGGCTCTTCTTTTGTTGTTATTGTTGTTTGCCTATAGCTGTATTTTAAATGGGATATTTCCCTTGTTTATTAGAGACTCCAGATCACAACAGCTGTAGTTGATCACATATCTTTGCAGATGGGTCATTCTCAGTACCTCAATATCTGCAACTAAAGCCAAGACTGCACATCTTTAAACGCATTCAGGTTTTAAAATCACAGCACACTATGCTAGCCACTAATCCCCAAAAGGTCTTTAAAATGTGCATGCAAAATACTGTGCATAGATATTAGGTAATGCTATGGGATGGCAGAGAGGAACCCCCTGCAGGGATCAGTTGCACAATTGGAATAAACAAGAGGAAGGTAGTGAGAACCTGAACTAAAATAATTTCATTTTTAAAATGCAGTTACATGAATTAGAAATAACGAAGCGATGCTTTCTTAGTTACACACTTCAGCTTGGGTAGAAATAAAACCATTTTTGCAGGCACTGTGAGACCATCCTTATTTCTTTAAGAGTAAGATTTGCTCTATCAGTGCCATCCAAAGGTAGGTTGCCTGCTCCTCAGAACTCTGCAGGTATTTATGCCATGAGAACACGGAGCCTGCTAGGAAGAAATGGCTGTCATTGCACAGAGCAAAGGGAAATATTTGGATTTAATCTAGAAGAACACGTAAGTACTTTGAGTCTCATATTCATGGCTTATTTGGTTGAATAAAGACCAGCAATGACACTCAGGTGTCTCAACTGTAGTTTGCCTCGGTTGCTCAAGAGACATTTTCTACAGGAGTCTTAAATCCTGTGCATATTGCTCATTTAGAAGCATCATTTCTGTATGCTAATTAAACATTTTGAGGTAAAAGAAATCTAAGAAAAATCACACACCTAGGTCTGAAATGCAAGTTTTGTCCCTCATCAAGGGCTTGATGTTTATTTCAAACTTCACTAGACAGAACCTCCCAAGAAGGGATGACTATTTCAGAAAACTATCTTACACCTGCAGTGGGCCATCAGGGCGGCCTGCATCTACAAAGGATGGAGTAAATGTAACATCCTCCACTGCCTGTGCCTGAGGCCCCCCCATAAGGGCACACCTTCCACTTGGGGCTGGGCAATGTGAGGGAGATACCACCGAGAAGTCCTGCCTGCACGTGGAGCTGGAGTGCTCCTGGGCGAGGCAGCAGCTGCTGGGGGATGCGCTGTGCTTCCTCCACCACACTCAGAATGAGCTGAGAGGGAAAGATTAGCCCACCCTCCTAGATACCTTCTGCAAGGGCTCCTACCTGCATATTGAGAAAACACCTGCTGGCTCCAGAACCAGCGAAAGCAGCTTGGAGGCATCTGATGGTGCTGCCCTCCCATAATTCCTGTAAGATCAAGCTAACCAACTCCAGGAGTGCTTGGAGCACAGCTCTGTGACTCACAGACCTTCCTGAGCATCAGGTAGGCTGACTTGCTCAGCCTCTTCCAGAGCCTGATGTAGAAGCCAGCCACCCAGGGTGACCACACAGAGCTGCATTGATGGGATTCAGCTGGTGGCAGAGAAGAAACACCCTTCTTAGGATGATCTCCCCAGCACAGCAGTCAGTGCTGTTGCCAGTGAAATCATCAGTTTTCACCTTGCCTTCTCTGTCCACAGACTGGCACAGCCCAGGTGGCCATTTCACAGAACCTGGCATTACCCCGCTCAGCTGTGGCTGTGCAGGGACCACGCAAGAGGGGCCCTGGCATGCTCACTGAGGGCAGGGTGGAAAATCTGCCCATCCCAGACACACCCTGGGCACTGGTGCCACACAACTGAGCATACTGGACACACAGCAGACATTGCTCAAAAGGCAGTGGGAATTGCTTCTGCACATTTTCTCTGCTGCCAAACCACATTTTGGGGAACCTGTCTTCGTGCAACTGAAGATGATGTCGCACGGAGGCTTGCAACAGAGAGGCCTGCTAACATCCAGGCAGTCACCACTCAAAATCTTGGGAAAAGTCCATTACCTCTGGGAGCTCCAGTCTGTGCTGAGATGCCAACAAATTGTTTGTTTGAACAAATGCTCTGCCTGTGAATGTCTGCATAGAACTCTGAGACGGAACATGGGCATGGAGTGCTGAGTGCACCACTGCCACACAACCATGGAGCATTTCCAGAAAGAAACAGACTGACAGAGGTTGTAAGGGACTTCTGAAGCTATACTGGGGGGCCATAAGAAAGAAGAGGATAGACTCTTTAGCAGGGTCTGTTGTGACAGGACAAGGGGAAATGGTTTCAAACTAAAAGGAGGGAGATTTACATTGGATATAAGAAAATAAGTTTTTACAATAAGAGTAGTGAGGCACTGGAGCAGGATGCCCAGCAAGGTGGTGGATGCCCTGTCCCCAGAGACATTCAAGTCCAGGCTGGAGGGGGCTCTGAGTAACCTGATGGAGTTGTAGATGTCCCTGTTCATTGCAGGGGAATTGGATTAGATGATCTTTAAAGGTCCCTTCCAACTCAAACAATTTATGATTCTGTGATACAGAGCTAAACAAGACTAACGCTCTACTTGGCATCACACAAAACACACTGCAGTGATTCTAGAGGCATCCTAAACTTCACAGTTGTCACTTCCCAGCACTGCAGCCATCTGGAAGGCCTGCCATCTCCTACAGCAAGTGCAAGCTGCTACGACTTGTGCTAACAGAAACTTCCATTTCCAACTGCATGTATAAGGTCTGAGCTCCCCAGAAAGAACCACTCAGATCTCTGCCTGGAGCAGACCTTCCTCAAGCCAAAAGACAGCTACCAATTTTATACCAAAAATTTCATTTGGTGCTCAACACTCCTTGAATAATGAAGGTTTTAAATAAGGCTGGAAAGCATCATTTCTGCCTCTCTGTTATCCTATCCCCCTCCCCACCACAGATTCGGTGCAAAGCTGCCCTGAGAGAGTTGTGCCTGGGGGCCCTGTGCTGGCATGCCTGGGAGCTCTGTGCCAGCAGGGCAGGCCGTACACCCACATCCCAGAGACAGGGAGTGCTCTGCATCCCTTGCTAGTCCCAAGGCAACAGGATTCAGTGCTAGGAAGCTCCTGAGGGGTGTGTGTGCTTCCAGCCCTCCTCTGGAGAAGGGCAGGTTGCCATGACAAAGGCCTTTGAGAAAAAGAGGTGTGGGATGGAAAATAACATGCAAGAAACCTATGAGGGAAAAACACACATCTCAATTCAGCATTTGCTGTCATTTCTCAATACAGAGTGATTGGGATTTGGGTTCATGGGAAATAGGAAATGACTACAACTGCCCCCATATCAGGAGAGGGTGGGTGAATGAGGCAGGCAACACAAACAGGCAGCACACAGTGAGTCCAGGGTGTGATGATGCAGCAAGGTGTCCTAACATCACTTCAAACAACCGTTATTATCAAATGCTGCCAAAGCAGAATCACTGAAAGCAAAGACACCTTCCTCTACAGCTTCTTTGGTTTCTTTTCAATGGCCTTAAGAAAGCTTTAATCACCCGAGCCACCTGCCACTATTTTATGGATTGTATGAGCCCCACTAAAGTAAACGCAAGCTTGCAATTGCCTGTTCAAAATCATACTTTGTTTCTAAAGTTTCCCCGTGCCAGAAATCCTCAGCACTCTCCAAATAATTGCAGAGAACAGTTCCAAAAAAAATCCTACAACACTAAACACACCATCAAAAAAAAAAAAAAAGGACATCAACTAGAGGGGAATAGCAGATCCTTTCACAGCACTGAGTGATAGGCCTAATCCGGTTGTCTCTTCTTGATTTAACAAACCAAGAAATATGGCATTGTTTAATAAGCGATGTGTCAAAACCATGAAGTTCTACAATTACCAAGCTATCAGAAAGCTGGGAAATCCCACTGCCCTGAAAGCCAGAGTGAAAGACAGCTTCAATTTCTTCAACTGAATTTTTAACACATTGCATGTAGCAGCCAGTCATCTCCCTCTCTCCCATTTGTTGTAGGGGATCCATTTCAAAACATCATTTCCTTGCTTCAAGTCATGCCTGTCATTACAACCCCAGAGCGCTCAGGTTGCATGCATGGTATCCCTTAAGAGCAGTGACTTCTGGGTTGGAAAAACATCAGCTGTACATAATGGGAATAGCTATTGCCTATTTCCTCCCTGCACCCTCTGAACAATCTCCCTATTTCTCTTCTCTCTGCAGCATCTGAGCATTGGCACAGAGTCAGCTGGCAGTGCCGCAGATACAGCTCCCCTGTGTCCCTCTACTTTAAGTGCTACACATCCAGAAGGGATGCTGTGCCTGTGTGCCCCAGCTCTGAATCCCCCTGCACTCACATTCTCCCCATTTTCCTGGAGGAAAATTTTCTCACCTGTCCCGGTTTCCCTCTTCTGCTCCATCCTCCCACCCACCTCTGCACCCACACTTTCCTGCCCATGTCGTACCTGTTGGCAATACTTGCATTGCTGCCACTGCCGCTGTGTTTCCTTGCCCGGCTCAGCCTCCGCGTGGGCTTAGGGTCTTGTAGTCCAGGACTTGGAGCTGAGGGGAAGGTCGAGGCATAGCCATGTTCGCACTCTGCACAAGAATCAACAGGCAGGGCATAAAAAAGGGGTCAAAAAAAAAAAAAAAAAAAAAAAAAGTCAGCTGGCAGGCCTCACTGACCCGTCAGCCTAACTGTGGATGCCCTTAAGCACAACAGCACAGGGAAACACGACTGCTGATATATTCAGAAGGAAATGGAGCAAGAGGTGGAGAAAAGAGAGAAAGACAGTGTAAAAGCTCTGCTAACCTCGCAGGAAGACCAGCACATCTCCAATACCTGAAAGTGTCAAAAGAAGCCGGGACAGCCCAGACTGTGCCTTGTCTCTCCTCCTGCTCAAGCTCTCAACCGAGCAAATCAGGCACATTTCATGCTGCAACGCCAGGACCTCCCACCCCATCCTTCCTGTCCAGTGGGAAACTTTCCAGCCAGCCCCTGCTTTTCCTTCCAGAAATCACATCCAGCTCGTCCTCCCCTTCTTGCCAACCCCCCCCACCTCACCTTCACCCCAGCCTCAACCTCTGCTGGAGGATCAACCACCAGCTCCGATCCCCTCGGCCTCTCTCACCCCTCCGCGGGGACTCCTGGCCCCGACCCCGCTCCCACCACAGGCGGTCAGCCCGGCTCCTCCCTGCCATTACCTCTTTCCCTCCGCTCCAGATACTCGGCCGCCTCCAGCAGCCGCTGGATGTTGATCAGCTGCACCTGCTCCATGGCCCCGGGGCTCCGGGCCCCCCTCGGCCCCCAGGCTCCCGGCGGGGCGGAGCTGCGGGGCGAGGAGTTGCCGGCTTCCCCCTGAACCCCAGCCCCCTCACATCGACCCCTCTCTCCCCAGGACGGCTCTCCTCAGAGGGGCGCGGAGATGGCGAGGACGCCCGCTCCCGAGGAGGCAACGAAGCGAGGCCTTTCCGGCCGTCCCTACTGCTCAGCCTACCGCCGCCCGCGCCTCGCTTCGCCCCCCAGCCCGCCCTCGCCCCCTGCCGGGCTCGGCCCCTCCGCCCCGGCCCGGGCTTACCCCCCCCGCCGCCCGGCTCTACCCCGCGGCCCCGCCGGGACCGGCCCCTCCGTCCGCCCCACCCGCCTCCCCCAACGCCTCGCACCACTTTGTTTACCTCCGCCGGGCGCTCACGGGAAGGGGGGAGGGGGGCACCGCGCCGCGGGGCTGCACGGGAAATGTAGTTCCGAGCCGCCGCGGGGCGCTGTGCGACGGCCGCTGTGTCCGCGGGGGGACGGCGGGACGCGCAGCCCGGCCCTGAGGCGACGGCGGCGGGAGAGTGGGCACGGCCAGCCGACCGCCCTCCCTCGAGCACCGCCGGGGCTCAGGACGCGGCCGGGCCGAGAGGCCTGCGGTCACTTCGCGCTTCTTGAGGCTTCCGCACGTGAAAGGACAGAGAACGGAGCAATAAAAGAGCAAAGAGAGGCTGCGTCTGTAGAGGCGTTAACTAAAGAGAAGCTGCCGTGTTTCCAGGGCTTCTGAAAGCACCTTGAAGTGCGCGACCCGTGCCCCAACCCAACCTGCTCTACAGACAAAAGAGCACAGACAGCAGTCTGTGTGCCTGGGAAAGCCGGCAGGGCGTCGAAGCACCACGCAAATAGGGCACGCTTCACCTGGACACTGCCACACCTGCATGGTGCATCCCACTCTTCCCGATCCCCCAGTTCAGCACTTCACATCCCAGCTTCCACACCCAATCACCACCATTTCTGCCACTGAATTTTGCCAACAACTTTTAAGGCTTGCTGGAGTAGAGCTTCAAAACCTGTTAGCGTGCAACTGTATGACAACCAGTATCCAAAGTACTTGATCAGGACACTCAGAGTTAAAATACAAGTCTCAGGCAGATACCAACCTACCAGAAGAGCTATTTGGTCAGGCTTACTTTTCACAGGTCTGGACCTTTAGCCTGTGACCAACGAAAGGTATCAGGAGACTCATGCAGAGTTGCAAGAGCTGACGTGAAAGAAAACCAAGTGGACTCAGTGTACTTAGCTTTTCTTTAAATATTTCACTGATTCACTGTTTTTGAGGCTTGCAGCTGATGGAGGTATCCAGCCACTATTCAGCTCTTACAGAAACCCTGTCATCCCTGAATCCTGTTTCTCTTAAGATGGGACAGTCCTCTATCCTGGAAATGACTAACAGCGCGGATTATTAGGAGCACACGTTAAGGCTCAAATTTGAGCAGGGAATACTCACGTGATCTTTGGAAAAGGACGCAGGTGCTCTGCACCAGTGGGGTTAGAGCAACAGCATTTCTGGGCTCTAGCTCGACTTCCTGCTTCCAAAACCAGGCAGTCATTTGCCTTCCAGGATTAGCAATAATACCAAACATCAAACAAAACAAGAAATACCCACCATGATGATGAAGCTCACAATCACTGTACTGCAACCACCACTGCCAGCTTTCAGGTGGTACGTGTGGAGATATGTGCTTCCTTAAAAAAAGGAAAAGCCACGGCTGGGATACAAAGGAGTGATTTAGGAGTACATCTGTGAGTCAGCCTCCAGGAGCCAACGTTCAAGACACAAAATAGAAGAGTACAGAGGAGAGGGATACACGCATATGGTGAATTAAATCAGCACCAGAATGAAGCAACAGCAGGATCAGTTCTGCATGAGATGATGTAAGATCAACTCCTCCATGCACACATCAGCTCAGCTTCCACGTCTTTGTTTCTTAAGTAAATAATGCACGATTACAAAAATCTGTGTGAAACAAAGACAAATTTGAGAGTAAACTGGGATGTCTTCCCAAGGAAGGAGCCTGACGGAGATCAGCCAGCCAACCACAGAGCCACAGCTTATCTGCAAAGTCTGTCAGTTGTCATCCCAAGTGGCAGTGCGGGCAGGTCAGCCTGCAGAACACAGAGTTGTGTGCAACAGAAACAAAAGTAGGTGGAAAGTGAATGGCACGAAGACGCCTGGTGCTATTCAGCTACCGACCAAAAAAACCCCAAAGTCAACATTTTAAATGGGGTTGAGCTATGCTGGGGAGGGGCTTAAGGAAAAAGTATTTTAGGGGAGAATGAGATCATTTAATTTAGTGGCTCCGAATGATCTGTAAGTACAGTTTTCTGATTATAAGTGCTTGCTGCTTGGCATCCCTTCTGGCAGCTGTGATTCACTTTCATTGTGTGTTCTGCTGCTTTGCCCTTTAGAAAGGGGCTTTTTACATTTTATTAAATGGCACTTCGGCAGCCCTCCATTTCCAGCCTTAATAATGGATTTGTTAATCTCCCTGATAGCCTTTCCCTCCTCCTTAGCAACAATTTAAATATCCAGGAAGAAATCTGCAGTGCAGAAATCAATTAATATTTACATCTGAAATGCTGCTGTGTTATTTTATTCAAGTAAAACAGATGTGGTCTGTTTTGATTTTGATTTTTTAACCAGTACCACAATCAGTGGCATTAAAGTAGCTGCTTCCATCGGGGGAATCTTCTTGGAGCTTTCCAGAAAATTATGTTTTAAGCTTCTCAAAACTGCAATGACTTTATGTTTCTTTTCTTTCTGCTCTGCAGGAAGGGAAACTGAGGTGTAAGCAGCATATTCACTGCATGAAGATGCCCTCAGCTAGAGGTAAAATAGAATACAGCTCACCCATCAAGATGCCCAACCCTCTGCTTTGGGCACGAGGCTTAGAAATAACATGGTGCTTTGCAACCTGGAAGTTATTTTCACTAAGGGCAATACCTTTAGTTGAACTGCCTAGTTTTCCATCCCTTCTCTGGCTTCTTCTCAAACAGTCCTACCTCCAATTCTTTGTAACCTATGGGAGGAACGCGAACATGGCAACAGTTGCAGGGTTTGTTTGAAGGTGGGCAAAGGAAACGCTTGCAAATTCTTAGCCTTGCTTTCAAACCCTTCAAAATTAACACCCCTGCAACCAAGGCAGGAACAGAGGTACCCATTAGGAACCATTTTCTGCTGCTCTCAAATCAGTAAAAAAAAATCCACAGAGGGTGTCAGATGAGAAAACTTTTGGTGACAACAGACTCACAAAACTGGTTTTTGGTATCCAGGGGAGCAGCAGCTGTGACATACCTGAATATCCCAACTACCAGCACACACTGCAACAGCCAAGTCTTCCCCTACTTTACACTCTTCCAATGCTTGCAATACGTTATGCAAGGGTCCTACAGCACCTATAGGATATGGCCTCATTTCTCACCCAGGAACCTTGTTCTTTTGCAAGGCACTAGACAATCCCTTTCAGCACTCCCACTGGCAATTGGAGCCCATCGATGGGGAGGACAGAATTTTTTCATAGCCAAACCACCTGGATATCCAAGAGGTTGAGTGTGAACAAAGCACGTGCTGTGTACTCTGATCCAAAGACTACCCTCTGCCAATGGGTAAGGCAAAAGCCAGGGAGGAGTGTACTCCCTGCTCCCAGCCTCTGGGAGACATGCTGCTCTGTTTTCAGACCTGAACCATGCCCCAGTTCATTCCGAGTCAGTGACTCAGTCACTTGACTGATCCACCTACAAAATTGAGTAATAGGGCCTCCCTCAAGAAAAAAATTAATAAATAAACAGCAAAACAATATACACAGGATGGGATCTGTCAAAGGTAGGATTTTCCAGACAACAGCAGAAGACACTTCTCTGCCAACCTGAGGATGCCCTGCTGCCAAGGACGTGATCAGTTCTCAGCAGTGCTCCTGGCACAGCCCTGCAGCTCTTGCTCTACCCTATCATTTCTCCTGCTGTGGCTTCCTTCTGAATTTCATGATGATGTACAAACAGCACGAGTCAAAATAACACAGCCTGGAAGTAGCTGACACATGAATCACCGTGGCCAGGTTATGAACCAGGAGGAAGGAAGGGAGTGTATTGTAAGTTGGAAGAAAAATATATAAGTGAAGGAGGTCTGTACTGCACCATATTACATCACTGTAAGATCCAAGACCCTCCATACTGACCTTGAGCCATGTGTTCAGCTCTCACTGACCTTATGGGAACCATCCTTTGGTTTGTCAGAAAAAAGACCCTCAAAAATGCATAGACAGTAGAAGGAGCCACAAGCTGACAAGTGTTGACTCACCCTCAAGGCTCAGTTTTTCTACCTTTCAAGCAGATTTATTGAAGAGCAAAGGACAAATCTACAGTCACCCATTTGTTATTCTTGGTCAGAAGGTCACTAAACATAGACAGCACTTGAAAGTCAGACAGCAAAGAAAATCTGCCTGTCTTTTTGCAGGGACCAAAGTCCACTGTCCTGTACACACACACCTGTGCTAAACTGTGAATAAGGACACCGCTGTCACGTTGGTTTGCTGGCCATCATGCTTTTGGAAGAGGATGTGACAGCATGTCTGCCTCTGCAGTGAGCTCAGCTCATATACATACCACATCTATTATAGATAAGGCATCACATCCAAAGAATTAACCATGTGCTTATGCAACTTGTACTGACATAAGCAGAAGCCTGTGAACACACAGGTAATGTTTGGCACATACCAACCCCAGCTGAATTTGCTTCAAGTCCCTCTAATAAAATAACACCTTCCCAATTCCAGCACTTTAGCTGCTTCTACACACTGCTATGCAGGCCTCGTTGTGAGGTGTATTGCAGAGGTGATAGATACACACCACCAGGGCTGCCCTCAGCAGGGCTTTCATTTCTGAAAACAGCCAATGTAATTTTTCATGTGCTGTTTCTATTCCTTTGATACCAAGCTCAGATTTCCAGAAACAGGTCATTTGGAAACCTGTACATGTCAGTTAGCAACGTGTGTTGGGATTGGGTTCCACGGTCTAGGTATGGAAGCTGCCTCAAGCAGGCAGGCAGCATTGCTCCCATTTCCAGCAATGAAACTGGAAAAAGGATTCAGCATTATCTTCGTAGATAAATACTCCATTTTTACCCAAGCATTATGACAATAGGATTCCATTCTACCCAGGCTCTATACTATAATCCACTACACTGTAATGCACTTCTGCTGCTGCACCACTCAGCCACATGGGCATGGTGCTGATGGGTTGATTGCTGGACTAGATGATTTTCTGAGGTCTTTTCTAACCTTAATCATTCTATGATTCTATAATCTGAGTGACAAGCAGTGCTATCCCATGGGGTCATCACTGCCTGCAGCTTGCCCAAAGCCACAACACCAATCCCAGACAGCACCCAGTACTTCACTGCCTTGTCTCCATCATGTGCACAGGTCAGGTTGGGCCAGACACCTCTCTGCCAGTCCTGTTTTCTTCAGGTCATGTTTCCTGGGGGCAGGCACTGTCACTCCCCATGTGTACAGCATTGGTGTAACTCAGTGGTCACATCAAAATGCAGCAGAGCCTTGCCGGGCACCAGCCGGAACCAGCAGGCAGCAGGGAGCACGTGCCCAGCTCAGCCCCAAGCTTTTGGGGCTGTTTTCCTTTGTTGCTGCTAATTGCCAGGTAGGAGCCTATAAAGACAAGCACGGAGCCATTATCCCCGTCTGGCAGCCGGCACGGAGCGCACGGAGCCATCGGTGTTGCTCCAGCAGCCAAAGGGCAGCGGATCCCGGTGCGATAACCGGAGCTGAGCACACGGCTCTCCCTGCAGCAGGACCAGGTATGCACTCAGGCCATCACCCTCCCACTCCTGCAGCTATTTTTCCCTTTGAATCGGTCCCGTGGTGTTCAGGGATTGTTTTCCAATTCCAGCAGCAATTTTCTTTGTTTGGGAGGCAACACATCAAAGCCGCCCGTTCACCGCCGTCACGTACCGCACCGCACGCTCCATAGCGAGCCCTGGGCCAGCCGGGACTGTTCGAATCAAAACGCCAAGGTTGCAAATAAACACTGAGACATTGTGCAGCATCTCCTGATGGAGGCAAGGAGTTCCCTGCTATCAGCACGGCTCTCCTAAGCGGAAGATGGAGAGAAAACAAGTGCCGGGAAGGGAGCTGGTTGGATATTACCGCTTCCTCTCAATATTTGGCAACAAAACCCCCATATCCCCACGTGCTGCTCACGCAGGGGAGCACCATTCCCCATCTCCAAACACGGAACCTCATAAAACCACGCATTTTTAAATAAAATGCGTGAAATGTCAGATACTCTTGCAAGACAATGGCAGAACAAATATGTTGGCAATCCCCCTCCCGCGTGATTCTGACACATCCCCTTCAAGCTCAGAGAAGAAGAGGAAAAAAAAAAAGAAAGACAAAAAACAACCGGCGGTCCCACAGTGATCCCCAAAGCACCGCCGCTCTCTTAGGCGCAGCGCTGAGCTCCGCCCGCTCCTCCATCATCTCAGCGCTCGCACCTCCCGGCCGCTCCGCTCCGCTCCCCCAATACGGGGCTCTGCGGGCTCATTACGAAACACCGATTCGCATGTGAGGGAAAAAAAAAAAAACAACACAACAAACAAACAGCGAACCAACACAACAGCGCTATTTCTACTTTTGAGAGGAGAAAAACAGCGTGGAGCTGATGGTGGAGAATAAGGGCTCGCGGTCCCCCCCACCATTGCGGCTGTGGGGTCTGTGCAGGGGCAGCCGCTCCTGCACCACGGGGGCAGCGACGAGAACAGTGCGAGAAGGAGAGAGGAAGGGGGAGGAGCATGGGGGGCGGCGTGCGCCGGGAATGGGAGAGAAGAGGGAGCTGCGCGTGTTTCGTGAAAAGTGAAAAAATAGTTAAATAAATAGGGGGGAAAGGAATAAATAAGAGGAAAATAAAAGAGGAAAAATAGGGAAAAAATAAATCTATATGAAATATGAAAAAAATAGGAAGAAAATAAAAGAAGAAGAAGAAGAAGGAGAAGGAGAAGGAGAAAAGGAAAGCAGCCTGCGTGTGACCCGGGGACACAACGGCAGCGGCAGCCCGGGCTCACCCCGCCGGGCCGCCCCGCACAGCAACGCGTGACGTCACGGGGGACCCCGGCGTCGCTTATTGGCTGAGCGAACACCCGCGGGCACGCCCCGCTGGAGGTCTCCGCCAATCAGCGCGGCGGGTTGCCTCCATGTGCGAACCATGTGGCTGCTCGGGGGCGGGGCGCCGGCCCGGGGCGCAGCGCAGCGGGGCCGCTCCGCGCAGCTCCGCGGTGCGCGCAGCGCTCCGCACGCTGTGCCCGCTTTGTTCCCAGCGCGAAGCGACAGCCTCCGTCCCGCCGCCTGTCAACCCTCACTCTCACTGTGCGCACCGCTTCGTAAAAGGCAACGCGCATCCTGCGCGCCCGCGGAGCGGGAGGCCGGCAGTAAGGCCGGCTGCTGCCCCGCACCGCCGTTCGGCCCGCGTGGCCGGCCCTGCCCTTCCCGCGGCGACGTGGCGAGCGCGGCCGTTTGCCTACGTGACTGCGCCCATGCCCCAGCGGGGGGAGCGCGGCGGTGACACCGCCTCCTCCCCGCGGCCCCGAGCGGAGACCCCCCTCCCGTCCACCGCCTGCGGCCCCGCCGCTCCCCCCGAACTTTACACGGTGGTCCCACGACTGTCCGCCGCTCGAGGCGAGGGGGCCCGCAGCCGTCCCAAAGTTTGCCCGGTTATTTATTTCCCCCCTCCCGCAGAGCCTCCCGCGCGCACTCACTTTTATTTTCCTTCTCGATCCGCTCCAGGTAGCTGGCGGCCTCCAGCAGCACCTGCACGTTGTGCAGGAAGGTATCCATCCCCGGCCCGGTGTTAAAAATGTCCCCCAGGGGACACCGGGCCCCGCCGGCCTCCCCCGCCGCTTCCCGCGGTTCTCTCCGCGGCCGCCCGCGTTTCCCCATGCCCCGCCGCAGCCCTTCGGCCCGGCGTGTGCGGCGGAGCGTGCGGCCGTGCCCGTGTGCGGCGGAGCCCGAGCCCGGCGCCGCCGCGGTCCTAGCGCTGCCGCCGCCGCCTCCTGCCGCTCGTGCGCTGTTTTCGTCCCGAGGGCGGCCGCCGCCGTCCCGCCCCCCCCACACTCCCCCTCCCCGCCCCACGCTCCCCGTCAGGGCGGCCTGGCCCGTACGCGCCTGCGGAGTGCGAGCGGCGGCCGCAGCGCTGCTCTGAGAGCGGCTGCCGGGCTCGGAGTGGGGCTGGGGTGCAGGAGGGGCCACCGCGCGTCCCTGCTGTGCCCCCTGCACCTGCAGAGCCCGCAGTGCCCCGTGTCACCCCGTGTCACCCTTGTCACACTGTGTCACCTCTTGCCATCCCACGTTACCCCTTGTCACCTCTTGTCACCCCATGCTGTCCCATTGTCACCTCTTGTCACCGCATGTCACTTCCCACCCCCTCATCCAGGGTTATACATCCTTCTCATTCAGGGACGTGGGGACTGTCATATCCCCATGCAAAGCTTTTGGTGCCACCACGTCGTCAGGGGCTCCCGTGGATCCACTCAAGACGTAACAACAGTGGTGTGACATCACATCACTCTGAATGATACCCCCCCGTGGCCCTCAGCTGCTATCCCAGCTGTGCATCCATCCGCACGTTACTGAGCACTAATTGATGCTGTGAAGTCACCAGGACCTGAGTCACTCTGACCAAACAAACCCCTTGGGCTCCCAATGGCAGGGCTATTTTTAGGAGGCATGGCCACAGCATTTCTTCAGCCACACGTATGTCCCGGGGCACGTGCTGGAGCCAGGGTGGCTCCCAGGCAGTGCAGCGTGGCTGTGACTCTGTGCCACCCACTTTGGCCCTCCCATGCCACTCACTGGTGGCTCATTGGAGCAGGGCTTTCCGTGCCGTGGGCAGCGTGTCGTGCCGTGTCCCCATGTGACAACTCCAGGTTAAAAGCCAGAACAATCAGAATTTTTATTCCCTTTCCTTTTAGCTTAGTTCAAGATGTCTTTTGCTCCCGAAAAACACGGTGGTTCTAGCCAGCTCTGAGCCCCAGTTGCTGCCTCACACCCTCAGTGTCCCAACTTTCCTTCTCTGAGTCTGCTCTTGGCTGCTGGATGCAGAATGCTGAACTGCCTGAGCATGCTCTGCTTCACACATTGTTAGTGGCCCAAAATTCAGTCCCCATATGAATATGGAGAGCCCGGGAAGAGGTGGACCCTCAGTGGGACCTGGGCACCTGCAGGGACATGGGCTGCCCAGAAGGGTTCCAAGGCAACCAACCTCGGAGAAATGGGGAAGAAATGAGTTTCCAGGGGATGTGTGCTAGGGGGCACAGAGGGGCATTTCCACAGAAGTCCTCCCCCCCCCCCAGCATTGCCCACTGGGCACCTTGGCTCGCCACATTCCTTCTCTCTGCTCCAGCTGCAAACAGGAAGGACAGGACAATCAAGAATTGAGGAGGCCTTGCTATTTCCCCAGTATCACACACTCAGCAGTCATGGTCCAGCACGTCACTGTCTGCATTTGCCTTCTCGTTAACGTTGTTTAACCTTTGAGCTCACACTGAAACTTCCTTGCCACCTCCCCAGGTGGGTGTCCCCACCCTCAGACACTGCATAGCACTGGCTGATGGTGCAGGGCTTAGGGGCCAGGATAGCTCTAGGTTTTGGTCAGCAAAGGCCCCTGGGTGCACCTGTTCTCTCTTTTGTGGCTGAGACCACTGTAATCCTTTTATAAAATCCCACCTGCAGCACGCTGCTGCCCTTTGGAAGGATGAACCTGTTTTCCATGCGATAATTGTGTTGCCCATCTGTCAAGGGCAGACATTCCTCACTGCTCAATGGCGATAAAAAGATATAAAAAAAACCTGTTGGAGGGCTCTCACATCTCTCATTTTATTTTGCTGTAGTTGCTGTGCTCATGGATAAGCGATGCAGAGCTCTGATGGATCTGGAGTGACCAACTCCTAAAGGGTCCACCTTGCTGCTGGATAGCCCACACCAGGAGAGGAAAATCCTCAGTCTGTGCTAAGGAACATGGCTACGAGAAACAACATTTCACTTGAGAAGCCTTCCTTTTGCTACTCTGATACTGACCTTTTCACTTTCACGTTGCACTCTTACCCCTTTTGGCAGCCTCTCTGGGCTTTTGTCTGTGGTTTCCTGCAGGATGCCAGGTGCTGGGGTTCAGCCACAGTCTCTGTCCACCTGTCCCGGGGTCACTCTGTCCCTGTCCCTACCCTAAATCCAGGGCAGTAGCAAGTCAAACACAGATAATGAGCTCCCAGCCTCAGGGAATGGAGAACGAAGCGCTTATTGGGATGCCCAGTGTTAGCTATGGGATCAGTGCTTTTCCAGACCTTGGCGTAGTTCACTTTTGGCTGCACCTGGGCAGACAGGCAGGGCCGAGCCTGACGTAGAAAGGCTCTTAACTTCCTTCCCAGCTGCCATGCAGATTACAGCTGTTTCACCCCAGTCGTGCTGGCTACACTACTCTTTCGGTCACTATTTAATTGCTTCTCCTTCACAACGCATTGGACAGGGTGCAATTTGCCACTGCTGGGCAAACAATACGGATTAACGTGCTTTGCACGAAAGGCCGTAGAGCAGGGAAACATCGCTATCTGCTTCTGCTCTCCTTCCCAGCCAACGGCTCCAGACATGGGTGGGGTGTGAAGCCACGTGTTGGCCCTCAGGATCTGCACGGCTGTGTGGGCCCAGCAGGGTGAGGGAGTTCAGAGCCCAGGAGCAGGCTGTGCCCTGCCTCGGCTTGGCTTAACCTGCATTTATGGCTGTGTGTAACGCAGCCGTGTGTTATAAAAATAGGCAGCAATGGATAACGCTCAATACTGATACAGACAGAAAGGCAGTTAGATAGATAACTGGGCGGATTTTAGTGTTCCTTAAATATTGACACAAACCAAGCTATCAGACAGCATCACTTTTACAGACCTGCAAATGCCCAGACCATAGCGAGCAGATAGCTGTGTCCAGCCTGGCTCCAAGAGCAGAGAACGTACTGTCTAAGTTCTGTTTTCCAGATTTGAGGTATTGGTATGCCTTGACACCAAGGTGCTTGTGTCCATGCCAAGTTGCCTTGACAACTTGCAGGGATGAGGAGTGGGCTGCTGGCCGGTGGCTCTGATGGATTTCCCCTTTCCAAGAGGTGGTTCACCTGGTCCCAGTGCTAGCTGTGCTGCTGCCACCCCACAGCCAAGCTGCAGATGGGGCCGTGCAGCACCTCGCTATGTTGGGAATAAGAATCAGGACATTAAAGGTGCTCAAGGTCACAACTGAATGTTAAGATAACGTCACGGTCTCACCGTTGCATGCAACCACCTCTTGTACCCACAGGGACATGACCACATGGGCCCCACACCACCTCCTCCTCCACACACTCCCAGCTCTGTGCCCGTGTGGTTGGCGTGGTTCTGCACATGGATATGAGCAGCGCAGCATCTTCACAGATGTCCAATTGGCTCTTCCTTGCAACAAAGATTTCTCCAATTATTACATATATATTTTTTTCTGTATACTCAGTAAGCAAGCCATAACGAAGGCCTGAATCGTGTCGGCACACTCAGGGCAGATGCCACGTCTGGCTGTGTTGGTACCATTCTTTGACTCTGTGAACTTTTGGCCTTTGACTCACATTACCTTTGACCTTTAGGACCTTTTGACCTCTGCCAACCCTTGACACAATGATCTTTTGACCCTTGACCTTTGAATACCCAGTGACCTCCTGGTCTTGGATCCCATGGCTGTAAACCCTGGGAGCTTTGACCTTGAGGAATCAGTGCTGAGGGTGCCCAGGATGCAAGCAAGGGTGAAGCATGTCAACTCAAGCACCTGATTTTAGGTAATGGAGGAGGTGTCTTAGTGATGTGCCTGATGAGGGGGTCCAAGAGGGTCCCCACAGTCACGTGCATCACAGGGTCATGTCTGCTCAACATGGATGCACAAATATCACACTGAATCATTGAGAAAAAAAATCTTCATCTGCTTCATGTGAGTTTGAGCCATTGGTTTTCTCTCCCTGAGTTGACCCTGTGCAAACACTGATCAGGAACAGGAAGAAGAATCTGGAGAAACCAGGCCAGACAGACTGGAAAGGAAGTTCTGCAAAACACATGTAGAAAAAACTCCTTGCAGCCACCATTTCTCGTTTACGTGACTTCATTTACAGGCAAACCTCAAGTACAAAACATCTGACAACACACTACTTTAAAAGTCAAACACATTTCTTCTCTCCTGGAGACAACACAGCGCATCTGCCTCTTTGACCTCTGTCTATCTACCTACCCTACCCTTGTCTGGTTTCCCCTGCACAACAGCAACAACATTAACAGCCTTTCCCTTCCCAAGGCTGGCCAACACAGAAGCATAACTGTAACGAATCAGCATAGAAGTCTGACTTACCCAGAACCCCGTTTCCCACAGAGATGTAAGGAAGACACTTGGAGAGAATGCAGAGTCAACACCTTGCTCTCAGCCTCTGACAGCCTGCAATTTGTTTTCTGTGCATATGTCCATGGCTACACCCCGAGATGAAGGGCATCAGCAAAGCTCTGCCCCAGCACCAACGCACTCAAAGCTGCATGCTCCCAGCCACGTGCCCCTGTTTCCATGGTGCCTTACTGCTTCCACTCCAGCCATCCTGGAACACTCAGAGCCCCCAGCCCTTGGGTGAGGTTGCTAGAGAGAAAGCATTGGGCAGCAGGATATTCTTCTGTGCAGCAAGCTTGCACGTGCAAATATGTGCACATTTTTAGCTCCAAAAACCATTGAGCTAAGAGGAGAAGCCCTGCCTCCAAGTTACATCTCCTTCCATTTCTGGATTTTGAAATGAATCAATCAGAAACAACCAGACCAGCAGACAGATGTCAGCTTTCATCTTGCTGCGCTGGAACTGGAATAATGCCCACCAAATCCCCACTAAAATACTTTCTTTGAAAGCTCTTTTGTTAACAGCTTTT